GCAAACTTACCGGAAAAAAAAGATACCCGAGTCGAAACCTAGGCCGGCATTCGAAGTCATTTATTATTGAACAAGTTATAGCTTCGTGAAAATTTCTAATTATTCGTTTTCACCTACATTTGAGTTTATTTTATACAATAAGAAATATTTTGATCCAAGTAGCCAAATAATGTGCTACGAATATATAAATCTATAATTAATTATATTCTCAATCAAAGATCTCAAATGAATTCACGACTGTGAATGCCGGTCTTGGGGCCTAATATAAATCTAATGCAAGTGCTGATTTTTATGTCTAATAATGCTCCTTTGTTCGCGATTCCAATCTTGTTTGCATTTGTCAGCGCTTTTTTTGCTTAGCTTTATTATTGTACCGATTTCAAATCTAAAATTCCTATTGATAAACAGCATTATTGGACACATAACTGTTATTTTTTCCTTTACAGTTTCATATCAGTTCTTTTAAGAGCTACAGATCTCATCAAAACTTCTAAAAAAAAGGAAAGAACAATTAGGAAAAGATGAGATTGTTTTGTTTTCTTCTAACCATTTATCCAATTATTAAATAATTCAATATTCGCTTATCGATATAAATTTTTGGCGGAGCGAGATGCATCGGGGAAGTTCGATGGCTACTTGAGCTACGTGTTAAAGTAGATGCTGAGGATGCTTGTAATTTATGTTTTAATTTCATTTCAAAACCGCCGAATAACATACATAATTGTACGAATACAGCTACACTTTGTTCGAATATAGAGCCGCATTTCGCTCATTTTCTATCGTGTGTTTTTACATTTGTAAAAACGTATTGAACTAATGAACGTATTGAACTTTTTGGAACACAGTGGCTTCACCGTGAGATCTATTAAAACCAAATCATAAGCATAATGATCTCGCAACGAAACCACCACTCAGTCTATGCATAGTGATGCATTCTACCGGTTTTTTGTGTTACTTGTAGTATTAGTTTGAGCGTTTATTTGGTAAAAATAGGAAAATAGAAAAAAATTAATTTCGAAAGGTGAATGATTTCTTGAGTTGTCATTTATAGACATGACATAAATATTTTATTCGAATTTTAAAAGTCCTTGCTTCGACAGATTAATATAAAATAATGCCATATTTTGTTATCGAGTAATTAGCGAATAATAGTTGATTGTGTTATTGATTTACACAAACTTTGTACGTTTCTTGAGCTTTTGACAGCAAAGTAAGACGATTATCACGAATGACAGTGAGCGAGTGTTGGTTTTGTGCATTCGGGTACTTTCTCGATATTTTTTCCGCGGAGCGTGATCTCATAGGAAATGACAACAAAAAAGAATGAGTCTGATTGTGCCGTGCGCGCCTCTCTAGATATTGTCATTTTGTTCGAAAACATTAAAATGAACATCGGATCTCGAGTCTTTACACGGAAAAAATAGTTTAGTTGGGTTAACTTTCTGGTAAAACATGACCGTTTAAAGTTACCAGAATTTTGTTCAAATGAACAAGATTTCTGGTTAACAGAATTGATTAGTTGAACAGAATTTTGAGATAACTTCAACTGAAATTTTCGGGAAAAAAATTTTTGTTCAATATCTTACAAACAATTGCATTAATTCAACTGAACGTTTTTTCAACTGAACGTATATTGTTGAATTGTGACTATTCTGAGCAATTCACAAAGTACGGAAGAAATTCTATTAAAAATATTGAGATAATATCAAACATTAAATAATTAATAAATAATTAGAAAAAGAATTTTATAATATAATGAGAATAATTAAAGTAAATTTCGAATATTAAATAATTCTTAAACGAATGCTTCTTGAGCTTCTTTAACGTGGAGAAAACGACAGTAAACAATCATCTGCAGCATCAAGGTAGGTCAATAGTTTGTACATCTCGAGATTTTTCATTGACTCTTCAAATTCAATGGAATTTGCAGGGTCAATGTAGAATCGAAATTTCTACTCGGGTAGATATAATTCGAATGAGAAAACTATAAAACTTGTCTCATGTGAGATACTTAGATTTTCATTCAGAGTTAGATTCATATTTTTTAGTTAAATTATATCATATATATGACATTTATATCTGTAATCGCGATTCAATTGAAAATCTTTCATCTAATTTTGAATTTAGATCTGAGTATCTCACTTGAGACGAGTTTTAAAAATAACAACTACTGGTTTATATATAAAAATATATGGTGGCAATTATGTGTGTGTGTGTAGGTGAGATACTTAACGAGTTTTACGAGTAGAATTAATGTATATAGTTCAATACACTATTTTGCAGTTATTGCAACTAAAGCTGAATGTTTACGCGAGAATTACATATTTACTGTATAGTTCTTGTAGCCATTCAGCTTTAAATGCATTAATTACAAAATAATTTATTAAACTATATATATTTATTCTATAATTATTATTATATTATTACTATAATAGATAATTATATTTATATAATCATATTATTATATATATTAAATAATAAAATTCGGCAAAACTCGTATAGTTGTCTATATAGTCACCACCATCGTTCTGAATGTCACCACTTTTGTTCTGAATGTATTGATTCAGATATTACACCTAAATGTGCATCTCAAAAATCCAATCCATTATTTACTGATATTTCGAAACGTTCGTGCAATAATCTGCTGTTCATTGTGCTATTGTTCGCCCGCTCAGAAAGCAGCCGCGCAATTATCTCGTCTCTCGAGTTCCCGATTGAAGTGAGCGTTCTGACAGCTTTACGGCGCGTTCGATAGCTGTGCGGCGCGCAACAGTCGCGAAGTTTTCCTCGACGCGTCGATTCTTAAGGCGCGAAGGGGCCTGCGACCCGCTTTTCCCGCTTTCCACTGCGCGCTTGAACCCGCCGACGAGGAATTCGCGAAATTTCACGGGGGACACCACGGCGGTTCGCGATCACGAGCGGCAGCGCGCGCATCGAAATCATCGATAACCGGATAACCGATAATCGACGGACACTCGATGTAGCAAAAACCCGTAATCGCCAGGGCCCGATTCCCGGTCGTCCACCGAAGTAGGACAAATAAGCAGTGGGTTATTATCAAGTCGGCCCTTCCATAAATGGAGAGACGGCATTCACGGCGTGACGGTGAACTACTCCGGCGTGCGTGCGTGCGTGCGTGAGTTCTCGGAGCGCGTAGCGATGTGTACTTGACCGAGTACTCATTCAGGATATTACCGAAATGCATTTCCCACACGTGAGGGGCACCGCTTTCCGGCCGATTCGTGTGTACTCGTACGGAACGGTAAAGCGTCAGGTGGTGTCCTCCGTATGGCAGTCCCATTTTTCTCTCAAATCGAATACTGAGAGAAATTATCCGATAAGAAATTAACAAATGGATATATCCGATCAAAATACCAATGAATTTTTTTTTGTATCTGATCAGGAAACATCCGATGAAAAATATGGGTTCATAATTTTTTGCTTTATCTGATGAAATGCCATTATGATCGAAAGTATCCGGTTAAATTTAATCGGATATTCTGATCGGATATAAAAATTAATCGGTGTTTTGATCGGAAATATCCGTTAACTTTTATCAAATAATTTCTCTCGGTGAAGTTAAGGATATATTGCCTGTATTTCTTTAAAATAATGAGAAATTTTGAGAAAATTAGAGATTAATCTGTGATCACAAACAATTTGACATTGATTCGGAGTCTGAGTCAAAAGTTATTGCCCTCCACTTTGAAGTGTAAGTCCATATAATAAATATGGTGACGTCAAGTGACGTTTTGATGGTGCATTAATGACACCTCTAACGTCAATAATACGTTATAATACTTCATTAATGTCACTTGACGTCACCTTGCTACTTGGGAGTACTTTAAACCGTGCTGTTATGGAAATATATGATGTTCCTATTTTTAGTAGAGGAAAAGACTTAAGAAATGATTAAAAATAATTAAGAAATGGTGACAAGAATCTCAATTTCCTTATATACATGTACCTTAAATATTCAAAATAACGTATGCAAAATTTCATTATGGAATAATAGTTTAAAAGTCAGCAATAATATAGAATAAAGTAAATGTGTGAATTATAAAAATGTAATGTTAAAGTAGAAATATATTGCTATTCAACTATATCGTATGCAGAGTGAATCACGTAATGTTAGATTCTATAAATATCTATTGTTTTTTGTATTAGAGGAAAAAATATTGTAAGGAATAAATTGTGCAGCGAGGAAGAATAAATATCGTGGTCACAACTCTTTCAACCACACAATTTATTCCTTACATATTTTCCTTTAATAAAAAAAAAGAACAATAGAGATATTTCAGAATCCAACCTAATCCAAATTAGGTAATTTACTTTGTTAAGTGTTTCACACATACGTTTCCACAGAGAATATAAATATCAGCGAATTTTTAATTTTGTATGACTTTATACAGAGATTATACGAGCGATACACCCTCAAATTGAATCGTAACGACGGCAGTTTCAGTTACTTCCGGTTGTGTCGTCGCTGTCACAAAACGCGATAATTGGTTTGGACAAGTGAGTGACGCGAGACTGATGTCAGCAGCGGCGGCGACGAAGTTAATTCGGCTGCTCGGCGATTTTCGGTCGCAGCTGCGTCATCCCTTCGAAGTCCGCGAGAGTCCGAATTGACGCTTCGAGGCTGAGAGGAAGGAATCGCATGGCGCGGGAAGGATCGCCGAGACGCGTTATGAATCGGCGATAAAGCGCGCGATATCCCGACTTTTCTTTCCTTTTCTTTCGCGTGCGTTGAGTCGGGATTAATGCGAGCCGCGGTAAATGATCAACCGCCTCCAGATACCGTAGAATAAAACAATTACATGCCCACCGAGAGAGGCCTTTATAGATCGTTACTCTCGGTTGCGAGAGATTGCCGATCGCGGGGCCCGATAAAATTCAAGTTTCGTTAGGCAGCGGGGAACGCGGTATCGCGTTCGCGTCCACGTTGTCGCTCGGCTGACTCCAACGTTGTCCGTGCGTCGCGTACGAAGGGTACTTACGAGGGCCTTGACCGACACCCCGGCGAAGACGAGCGCGTCTTTGGTGTACCTCGAGTAACCCTGCTCGCATACTCTCAGATCACCCATCGACCTTGCTTTCTACGAGCGGCGAGAGAGCGTCAACGAGAATTCAGATTAGCGGTGAGTCGTGGATCGTCTCGGGAGACGTGAGCTCTGTGAAATATATACAGGGTGGCCCATATAACTCTTTACAACTTGATATCTCAGAAATTGAGAAAGTGATAGAAAAGTGTTTTCAATAAAAGGATATCGAGGAAAGATAGTAGTATCTATTTGACCTTAGAATGACGTTTAAAGTCCCTGTCGAAGTCAATTTTAATTTTTCAAATGGAATTATATGGTTTTTTTAGCATAAATCCATTCCTCCTATCATTCTGCATACAAAAGTATTCGAATAAAATCATCGAAAAGTGAATACTTTCTACGTCATTTTACATGTTATCCTGTTATTTTTCAATATGAAATATCTCTTATATTATTCACTTTCCGATCACTTTATCTTAATATTTTTATATGTGAAATAACCGGTAAACTCGATTGTAAAAAATTATACGAAAACGTTAAATAAAATTCCATGCATTTTACGAATTCACTGATACAACAGTGTGCAAAGATTAATATCACCAATTAATTTCTCTGGATATTTTACAAAAGTATTGAGGTGAGGTGGTCGAAATGTGAACAGTTTACAAAATATCTCATGTTTTGTATTGAATAATGATAGAATAAAATATAAAATATCTCTGGAAGCATTCATTTTTTGATGATTTTATCATAATACTTTTGTACGCAGAATGACTAGAGGAATCGATTTATGCCGAAAAAACTACATGATTCTATTTAAAAAATTACAATTAATCTTGACAGAGATTTTCAACGTCATTCTAAGATTAAACAGATGTTACCATCTTTTTCCCTCTCGATATCCTACAACTTTTGTTGGGAACTTTTTCATACCTTTCATGATTTCTGAGATATCAAGCTATAAAAAGTTAGGTGAGTCATCTTGTATATTGGTCGCAAGTGGCGTTGAGGGTGGAAAGAGGAGCAGGAGACTCGTCTGGTTGGCGAAGTGAAAGAAAAAACTTCGACAATCGGCCGAGAAGCTTCTCGTAAATTGCATCGATGATGGAAGTTCTTCCGCGTCACGCGCGGAATTTCTTGGCAAAGTTGAATACGTGTGTAATTTTTCTTTCGATTTTGGTGCACGACACACCTCGCTGTCCGTTCTTTGCCGACAGCATTTCGTCGCAATTGTGCTGCGTCGCGAGGGAAATGGAGGTGACTCGCGTGTTTGGAAGAATGAGTAATTATCGGAAGCCACGCGCGTCACAGAACTCACGTTCTATATTAGTATTACGCTATTAGAATTAATTGTCCCGAATCGGCATCCGGATAACATTATCGCCACGTCAGCAAACGTCGTGAAGCAAACGTCGCAAGTGGCTCATGCAATAACCAAAGTTAAGTAATGTCGCACACGCTGCGCCGGAAACCAATTTTTGCGACATCGTTAATAAGCGTTCGCATGCTCGCAAATTCTGCCTATGCAGCAACGATCGATACTTGTTGGCTACGTTACTACGAGAATAATTAGCTTGGCGAAAACAATTCTAGGAACATCGACTCATTCGTGAACATTCGTAATCCACGTCGAGAAAACGGGCATGAGCATTCGTCTAAATCGGCACGTTTGTTAGACCGGCCATTATCATTGTCAACTGTGAGACGACAAGACATATTCGATGTGCACGAACACACACAACAGAGAAAAGCATTCGAGATGCGCAACGCGGACGAGAATTAAGTAGAGCATACAAACCTCCTCGGTTTCCATCGCGTGATTCGTTTTCCCGAATGCCGTCTGATCGCCGTCGCTCATGTTCGAGATGTCGCCAAAGCTGCGACACTGTTAGTGACAAAATACATCTGACAAATGTATCAGCTATTATCGAAGCTATTATTTGCGGCGAAAGCGCATAAAATTACTGATCTTATCGATAAGGGAAAAGGAACGGAAGGAAAGGAAACTACGAGAAACCTTTCCTTCCGCACTCAGAAAAAGAAACACGGCGGTGGTGACTATATAGATGACAACTGTACGAGTTTTATATCTAAAATTAATTTATATATGGTTTAATAAACTATATTTTGTAGTTTTTTATATTGCACATGCAAGTAAAGTTGGACGATTACAAGTGTATAAATTTCTCTTAATTATTCAGTTTTAATTGTAACAACTACATAATAGTTTATTAAACTATATGGACAAAGAAATACTTGAGGATTTATTTGTAGGATATAAAATTTATTTCACAGAAATAAACTTTATTTCGCAGAAATAAACTTTGTTTCTCAGAAATAAACTTTATATTTCACAAATAAATTTCCAAGTATTCTTTTCTCAATGCAGGAGAGCTTTATACTGTAAAAAATATTTGAAAATTTATTTTGTAGGATGTAAAGTTCATTCACAGAGAGAAATAAATTTAATTTCACAGAAGTAAACTTATGATATTTCACAAATAAAATTTCAAGAATTTTTTCCTAGTATGTATATATTAGGTTGTGCAATAAGTAATTTCGAATTTCTTTATGTAAAATATGAAATGTTTGTATTTTTATGTTGCTGTAATTTTGTGAAATAATACATGGATCTATGATCTTCTGTCATTCTTCGCATATACATTTCCATGAAATTGTAACAGCATAAAAATATGGTGATTTCATTTTATCTAAAAAATTCGAGATTGTGTGCTTATTGTAAAACTCAATATACTAATTATAATTCTACATATACAAAAACTCGCATATTTGTCACCTACATAGTTGTCACCACCGAATCTCTTCTCCGAGTAATACAGTCCACGGGAAGGAGACTCGACGGTGGTACAAATGAGTTGGTCTCTCGTGTGCGAGGAGTGTCTTCTTCTCGCGTACTTCACCGTACATAGTAGACGCGAATGTAGTCCGCCATGTAATCATTACTTACTAATTGCTTGATGGACACGCCGGTCGCGATGCGTTCTCTGCACAACTTCTCCTGGTCGCTACGACTCGTCTCCGTGACATAGTTCTGTGTCTGCATGCGCAGAAAGAAAAGACACAATGCAGGCGAGTTAGTGTACATGCGACAACGTGTTATTATATTCGTGCGTTTTTCTCTCTCTTTGTTCTTTCGTTTGTATGTTACGCGAATCCACCGATCGTTGAACTAACGCGCGGAGCGCTTGGGGCGAAGAAAGAGGTACTCGTATGGAGAGATATCCAAAGTGTTTCCCCGTGTAATTCCGTTTTGAGATATTAGACGCTTGCAAAAGTTCGTCGTATTTTCGGACATACTTATTTTATTAACAGTTATGAAACATCACATGTGTCATGTTCAAAGTATCCGCCATCATCGATCGTCACTTTCTGTCACTCTTCAGGTAATCGACTGTTTCTGCATAAAAAGATATTTTCGTCTGCGAAATAATTCCTTCTTTAACCGATTAAAAAAAGAAACCAACTTTTAATAAATAATTTGAAAATAGAAAATAAAAAATATAAAAAAGATAAATCTTTTAAAAACACCTCAAGAATCCTAAAGAATATAAAATAATACTGAATCAATGTTCCTATAACCCTATCCTAATATTATAATGATATTAGAAGCCGGTGTGAAAAAGTCAAATTTTTTAAGCAGGTAACCAATCATAATTGTAGAATAAGGAGGAAATAAATAGGAAAGAGATATAATTATTCAGTCAATCGGTTAAAGTTTCGTTCCGACTTCTAATATCGTTAGAATATTAGAATAGGATTATAAATATATAGGAATATTGATTTAAATTATTTTATGCTTTTTTAGAATTTTTGGGGGTTTCTAATTGTTTAAGTTTTATTTTTTTTAAGACAATGCAACTAATCCAAACTAACAAACTAACTAACAAACTTTTGCATATCCCTGGTAGAATATTTTTTTTTATTTCTATTTAACTATCCCCAGATAGACTTTCATGATTATCACGACATGATACAATCGATAATGGAAACTTTACTATTCTTTTAATTACATTTGCGAAGTAAGTACAAAGTAATTATTAAATTCAAATCATACAATAAAGATTTTTTGTTACATTGATGCAGCAACAAATTTACTAAGAAATCACACACTTAAATTTTCAAATTTGCGTTTATCACGACATATTCTTTGGGGCAAATTTTAATCATTTTTTTCGTATTCTTTTCGTATTTCTATTTCTATGTGACAAATATGAGTAATCTGATAAGACATAAAAGATTCAACGTTGCTGAATTTCGTGATTTAATGTACTTAAAGTTACTGCGTGTAAAATTTGCGTACATCAGTCTATCGGGAATGGTATAGATTGCGTTATCAATCCCAATCTGCTTTGGTTTCGAGTTCAAGGGAAAACGAGTCCTCTCTTTGGGTTTATTTCTGCAAAGAGTGAGAAAGCCGGCCGGTCACTTCTCGTTGGGTTCACGTTAAAAAAAGCGCTATTTTAATATTCGCTCATTCTCGCGCACTCGCTCATTCGCAGTGTTACGTCGCGCACGCAATTTCCGAAAGTGACAACATAATTTCGCGGACTCGAGAGAGCCCGCGCTTAATTAGACAGCGCGCCACGCGCGCGAAGTAACTTTTAATTGCTTAATGGAGCGATCGTACGCCAGCTGCGCTCGCCGCTAATTATTTAGAGCCGTGCCGGCCATTATCTCAGGAATCACATCTAGTAGATCACCTCGGTGGCCCGAGGTGAGCGGCCAGCGGGATAAATCTCGTGCACGCGAGCCGCGTCTAATTCATCGGTCGGCCGAGAGCGAGAGCCGCGCGCCGCGAAATGGTACTTGCGTCGCGCGGAGCACGTGTACGCAACGTGCGGACACGTCGCCGGGGAAACGGAGAAATTGCGAGGGGGGCAGGAACGCCCGAGGATACGGGCTCGTTGCGCAAGACCCCCGCCAAATGTCAAAGGCGTACTCCGCGGCGAATTCTCAGCGGATCTGAGAAGACGGAAAAAACGCGATCGCGAGTCGCGCCGAATGTCGCAGGTTAATTGGCGCGCGAGGCGTGTAATGATACACTGAATACTTGGAAATTTGTCGGATACAAAGTTTATTTATAGAAGTAAACGTATCCCACGGATAAATTTTGAAATATTCCCTTTTTCAGTACACCGAAAAAAAATACTTGAAAATTTATTTGTGGGATATAAAGTTTGTTCATAGAAATAAGCTTGGTTTCACAGAAATAAATTTTATATCCCATAAATATTAAAATATTTCTTCTCGGCGCACTGAAAAATAACACTTGAAAATTTATTTGGAACATACATTTTTTTTCCACAGAAATAAACTTTGTTTTATAGAAATAAATTTTATATTTCACAAATAAATTTTGAAATCTTTTTCTCAGTGCATTGGGAAAAAAAGTATTAGAAAATTTACTTGTGGGATATAAAGTTTATTTATAGAAAAATAGATTTGATTTCACAGAAATAAACTTCATCTCACAGAAATAAACTTTATCTCACAAAAATAAACTTTATTTCACAAAAATGAACTTCATATTCCACGAATAAATTTCCAAGTATTTTTTCCTCAATATATCATCGACGAGGCTTTGGGTCAAAGATTAAGTAATATCGCAGCTACAATAATTATTGCGGCGCGCACAGTCGCCAGCTAGTTAGTCGGTTAGTCATTTTTCAGACCGTACACACTTGAGCGCAACTTACCAGCGACTTGACGTTGACGTTCGATAGATCGTCCTCGTCGGAGAAATCGATCATCTCCGAGTGCGTTCGCTGAGTACCCGTGTGCATGCTTGCGTCACGTAAACTACAGTTCTGAATGGGGGAAAAAAAGAAAAAAAACACAAACACACTGAGCACACATGCAACGAGTGATTAATGTGCGCGCGCGTCTACACTAATTTGCGTCGTTAGTCGTGGCGGTGGTACAGAGTGTCAAAAAGCGGCAACTAATTATCGTATGTAAAAAAACTTCCGCACTTCCGAGATGTGTATGAGAGATGAAGGAATTGCTAGCGCGCGCGTGAGAGAGAGAGAGAGAGAGAGAGAGAGAGAGAGAGAAAGAGAGAGAAAGAGAAAGAGAGATTGTACGGAAGAGTCGCGTTCCAATTGCTCAATCATGTTATTTCGTACGTCGCTTTATGAGATGAAGTAAAGTCCGGATTATTATCTCTCAATTAAAATAAAATTCGCCGTGTGTCTCTATGTGTGCGTATACATGCAGGATGTGCTCGCGAAGATGTTCTTCGCGTTACCCGTTGCTCGTGAATTCCTCGATCGATTCGAAACGGGTTGTACAATTAAATAGCATCGTGCAAAAAACAAACCGATGGTAAAATGAAGAAAAAGAATCATGATGAAGCGAAAGAATATATTTAACTCAACTGGCAACACGAGACGCGACTTTGCATTTTAAACGTAAATCACTCCGACTCAGTTATCCGGCAGTGTAGACTCGGATATTATCCTATCGGATAACGGAATGAACAGAATAAGCAATTTTTGCATAATATCGCTCGATTGCTTCCTTCCCGAGCGGCGTCGTCGCATGCTGGACGACCCGAGAAGTAAAAGCTGCAATGATACCCAGATAGACTCGGTTGATTATCACAACGTGTGAGGCAATCAATGGTAGAAATTTTACGATTTTTTTTTAATTACGTTAATGAACGATATATACTGTACTGAATGAATCAGTAAATTTATATCGTACAATGATGTAATTTTCGTGTTATATTGAGGCAGAGCAACAAATTTACTAAAAATTATAGATCTTTACACTAAATTTTATATTACATTATTGTTTAGAGCAAATTTTTATTATTTTTCTCGTGTTTCTTTTGTATTCCTTTTTCAGGTCGTGTGATCTATATTTATCATATAAAATATTTTATGTAATAAATATTAATACGGGGAAAGTTTTATAGTAAAAGTATACTGAGAGAGAAAAAATCTAAAAAATAAATAAATAAATAAATAAATAAATAAATATATATATATATACATACACTATTCTTCGTGTGTATATTTGAAGGTATGAGGTATGTAACTTTTACAAATCAAATAGTAAAATTGTTGCTAACTCTATGTATGCACCTATCTGGGTAGTTACAGCAAGAGAGGAAATGTCGCGAGGAGAGCAGATCTCGATCGATATCGCTCACACGCACGCATGCACGCGTGCTCCACTTAGCGCGGCGATATCGGTCGCGATCGCGTATCAGATCGCGAAGCGACAGGTAATAGAAAACCCGCTCCTATCTGTGCCGCCGATCCGGAAAAGCTAGCCGGATTAATCGGCCATATGCAGATGAAGGGACCAAAAGCGAGCTTCCGGTTTTCACCGGTGGCGCGAATGCGCCTGTTGCCGCCGCCGGCGGGCAACCAGGCAAAGTGCTAATTAACGTGATAACGGTTCCACGCACGGTGATTTTATACCGGCGCGTCTCGTGCCACTCAGCTGTGGACCACCTTCAATTATGTTGCCCGATGATAGCGGCGCGAACGTCTTTTATCAGGGATAAAAGGAATCGATACGCGCACGTTGACACATTTTCGCCTGCGCGTGCCGATAATTAACACCCTGCAAGCGACGAACAAAAGCAGTATGCGAGTCGCGTGTGAAACTTACAGGATGTTCCAGAATTTTATTCCGGCTTTTTTGCCCAAGTCGCGAATTCTCTCTAAACTTCTTGGGATGACATCTCTCCCTTACTCCTTCCCCTCTCTCTCTCTCTCTCTCTCTCTCTCTCTTTCTCTCTTTCTCTCTCTCTCTCTCTCAAAGTAGAATAATCGAATTCAAGTGATTTTCCACTCATGTAGATCGAATTCTTCACTCCGAATCTTTGAGTGAATGTCTTCACTCGAAATTAAAGAATGAATTCGATGTGCTTCACTGTGGGAAGAATATTCATATATAAAAAAAGAATTGTAGTTGCAAGATGCTATTTCCTGTAATCCCATATTCTGAACAAAAACTTTTTCCGGAAGACTATTCTTCTTCTAATGAAGCCGTTAATTGGAAATTTGCTAAATGTGATTTTAATGTTTTCTCTTTCAAATTAAGAGGAATATATTTACTTGAAGTAGAATTACTAGAAGAAATTTCTATTAGAAACAAGATTTGTACTGTAAATAAAAACCGAAATTCTCTTAATTTTAAGAATATATGTAGTTCCAAAAGAATTCTCTTGAGGTTACATATACACCGAGAACACATTAAATATTTAAAAATTTAATATGAGATATAAAATTTATTCACAGAAATAAATTATATATTCCACAAATAAATTTTCAAGTATTTTTTCTCGGCGTACGAATAAAATCCTCTAAGATTCAGAGGGTTCCGCTATAAGCACAGGAGATTATATATTTTTTTAGTACACTTTCTCTCTTCTTCTCCCTTTCCCTTTCTCTCTTTCAATCAGTTGAAACATTCACTCATTTGAAGTCAGAATCCACTCTAAGCTCGAGTGAAACATTGACTTTTGCGATTTCGAGTGGCAATATTTTCACTGCTGCTTCGAGTGAAAATATTGCCACTTCCTCGTTTCGGGTGAGATTGCACTCTGAGAAATTTAGAGAGTTTCATGTGATCATTCGCAATCGTCTTATTCGACGGAGATATCGATGCGTGGGTAAGAAGGTTGCGGACATACGACGGACGTCAGTGGCTCGCGGAGGTTTTGATTTTTCTTTATCATTTTTTTTTTGACTTTTTCTTAACACGTTGAACACCGCGATGATCACCGTGATATTGACCTGCCTCATTAAGTCCCACAGAAAGTATAATTAATCGCAAATCAAAAGAAAACGAACGGTTGTGCGGTCACTGAAGAGCCAGTAGTGCGCGATAAGAGATACATGCGCATCGAATTACAATTATTCGCCGTATTTTTAGTAATATCCAATCGCCTGTTAAACTCTTATACACATTAGCCGGCAGGGTAGCCTCGGCATGCGATGTGTAACCGGGTTATTAGAACAGAATGGTCTAACTATACGCATTATTGATTCATTATTTATTGATTATTCAGAGAAGCGAGAACGATGTGTCAAAGCAATAATCCGTCACTGCGATAGCTTGACGTCAATGTCTAGAAACCAAGTAACCCAATTACATACGCCACGTATTAAGGCTACCCTGCCGGTTAATGTACAGTGGGTTACAAAACAGTTTAGACATAACGAAGTTGGCAGCTCACCAAACTGTCAAAATTGAGAGTCATCACTGCGTTGATGGGCTTGCCCAGTAATTATATCGTTAATTACTAATTTAAACTACCTGGCGTTGCCCAGGCTTTTTATATCTGGAACATTTAAGTTTAGAGTCACAAGGGAATGAAATCATGGAGAGAAGTGCCCACAGATTTCACATGGTAGCCTATTTACATTATACATTTTTCGCAGGATTCTAGAGAATATGCAAAATTTGGTCCAGATCGGTTAAAGTGTTTTTTTAAGAATTAATATATTGAGGAAAAAATATTTGAAAATTTATTTGTGAAGTATATTTCTGCGAAATAAACTTAATACCCCACAAATAAATTTTCAAGTATTCTTTTTCTCAATATATTAACTTCTAAAAATTCCTAAATATCCGTGAAATAAATTTTGTATCTCACAGATAAATTTTCAAGTAATTTTTTTTCAATATAGAGAACATACAGACAAATATTCTATTTTATATACATAGTTATTATTATTAATTATTATTAGTATTCGTATTATATTTATTATTATATATTTTGCGTTCTCGATTATATTATTGGTCATATCATTATCGTGTAAGTCTATTCACAATGATTCTCAGTTTTGACTGTTGAGCTGTCAACTTCATAGTGTTCATAGTAAAGTCCGGTTGCATCAACATTATTTTGGTTTTAAGTGAGACTTACACATGTGTCTATTTTTATCTTTCTTTCTAAATAAAGACAGGCGCATATTTCAGTCTCGCTCAAAGCCAAAATAACGTTGATGCAATCGGGCCGTTTTGCAACCCGCTGTACACCGAGTGGAAGTCAGTGCGGCGATCAACGTGTTAATCATCAGCTCGACGCGAGCTTATTCAATTTGGAATTTCGACTCGACGTCCAGTCGGAGTTTCGTTCAGGTCGGGCGAATCGTCGCCGATTGGCGATTAGAGGATAGATGAAAGGATGGCTGCGGGACATCCTGTATGACACACGCATACACACACGCGCATACGCGGCACACATACACGCGCTTGTGTCCATAGATGATTTATAACTCACCACGGAGATGTTCTCCTTCTCGAGATCGCTCTTCTTGCTCTTCTTGGTTTTCTTTGTGCGCGGCGTAAGGTTCGGCGAGGTGGCATCGTTACCAGCGACGCCCTCGATCTTCTTCTTCTTCGTTTTGGTCCCGCCCTTGGAGGAGGTCACCACGGTGGAGCTGGTGGTCACCGTCTCCTCGCGGCTCTCGCTCTGTGAAGAAATGAAACAGAGAAGCGGGCTTTTATTGCATCCGAAATGTCTCCAGGAGAGACTATGTTCTCCTGCAATGGCTTTTCTTTCTCCTCCACTGCCCGCCCCGCCGCATAACCCTTTCCGCGTTTACGCTTAGGAGCGGCCGACCTAAAACGGCAACTCGATAGTTGCCCTCGCCGGAGACAACGAGTCTCCTTCGTGAGCACCGTAGGTGGGCGCGCGTACGGTTGTCCCCTAGAAAGGAATATAAAGGCTCCCAGGAACTAGATTTAGCGTGCCGCTATTGTGCCGCCGAGACTCAATGGACTTTATAGTGCACGTCGGGCCGGGTGAGAGATGTGTGGTCTCTCTGCGGTGTGGGACACGGAAGTTTTGCGTTTGCCTAATGAACGTGATTTGTAGGAAATCATATTGATTTCACCGTATTGTGACGTAATCTCGCTCGCCGCACCGGTAAAGGTGCACCGCGATCGGTGTAGGGTAATTAGCGGGCCGCCGATTAACGTCGCTTCCCGCACAGGGGAGTCAAATGAAATTTCAGGCTTAGAAAAAGCTGCAGCTTCGAGATTCGAATCGATCCTTTTTTTCGTGAAAGTTGATAAAACTTGGAATAACTTTGTCGAGTTAGATTTTCGTCTTTTGTCTTCTTTCTTTTAAATCAGACATGTAGAAGTTAGATTTTTTTAATCAAACAGTAGATAACTCACTTCATATCTCTAATTTAAGATCAGGCACAGATATTGATAGTAAAATTAAATATTGAAATCTCGATTGCAAGTGTGAAAAGTCATAGGCTTACTAAATCTTACCGGAACCTGAACTCTCTTAACAAACTAGATGAATTTAAATAGTATCTAATTTTAATAAATAGAAACTATTGAATTTTTTAAATAAGATTAAATTATTACTATGTTATCAGTTTTTTGTATTAATTATTGTTTTTGAAGTAATAAGTATTTGAGCTTCCGTGTCTATCGGGATTGTTTGATTGAAAAGAATCTCTCTTTCTCTCAATTTGTCCTCTTTATGTCTGATTTAGAAGAAGAGAAGCAAAGGACAACAATCTGACTCGACAAAGTTGTTCTAAATTTCACTAGCTTTCATTAAAAGAAAAAAGCATCGAGGTCGACTGAAATTTCGAGACTGCAGTCTTTTTCGAAGCATAAAATTTCACTTGACCCCACTGTTGCGCCAGTTTCTTGCAGTCGATTCCTCGCTGTGAAACGACTCCTCGCCGCGGAGTGGTATACCCTTTGTGCGAGGGATCTCCGCAAGAAATCTGTTTCCCGTTTCGCGCGTGCAAAAAGCCGGTGCGGAGCAGGCCGCGAGCTAAGACAGTCGCAGGCTTAATATGCAGAAAATGCGAGCTAGAAAGCGTACTAAAGAGGCGATAATGAATCGCGTGGTTTTTAGCAATAACGCAAGTCTCGGCGGTTTTTCCCCGGCGGAAAAGCCGCCCCAGGACGTCTCTCGCTCCGAAGTGTGTCGCGGGAGCGCGCTCGCGATGCGACTGTAGATTTTCCCGACGACTCTTGCGTTCAGACACCAGCCGATATGATAATTACTCGGTATCGCCGTGATTGCACACGAACCGGCAATTTTCCTCGCGCTCGCCGAGCGCATAAAGAGTACAGAAAAAGGGAAATTCGCTCGAGCGCGCAATTTATTTAAGCGTCCCGTGTTTGCGTGCCGAGCCTCGCCATCGGCCGACGATGAGACTCGCATTCTCGGGTGAACGCAACGAGACGACACGGTGGCGGTACTTCTCCGTACTCGGGACGACGTGAGAGTGCATAACGCGATCGTCTAACGCACGTTAGAAAGGCTAGATTTTAGACGGAATATTTGTTTAATCATACGGTTTCACCGCGCCGGGCGGAACTAGTACGGTATTGCGCGCCGCAATTAAAGCGTCTCGCGCTCTCGCCTACGTGATCCTCGGTCCAACTCACCGCTTGTCGGACTCGCAATAACTCCGAATCCGTGCGCTGCACGATAAAAGGCTGACGTAACGGAATAATAAACAGTCGCCGACCGATGCTATGGGACGCGCGGAGCAAACGGGACGATAAGAAGGAGATTGGCGCGCGCGAGCAGCTATCAGAATTGGAAAGAGAGATTATGGTCGGAGGTGTCGTGAGAAAACTGAAGAAAGAGAGAGAGAGAGAGAGAGAGAGAGAGAGAGAGAGAGAGAGAGGCGATAGATTCACGCAGAAATCTTGGTTGAATAACATGGAATACTAATAATATAATTTACAAGACTTATATACTGCGCTCGACTGGGATGTACACCTCATTTTTAGCGGAATCCTCTTAGATAGCCTCAAAAAGGTTCTTCTAAAACCGACAGGAAAATATTCTAAGCAGGGAAATATTTCCTGTATAATTCCATACTTAGTATTCATCAGAAGAGAAATACTTTGAATTTAGTATGAAAATTAAAAGATTGTCTCTTCATTAGAGAAGAAACACTCGGAATACTAAATATGGGATTACAGGAAATAGCAGCTTGCGAAATAGCAACTAGAGTTCTCTTTTTCGGGCGATGGAATATCTTTCTTTCGGTTTTAGAGGCATTCTCTTCAGGCTATAACATAAAAGAATTGCGCTAAAGAGACGAGATCATATTTTTTGGAGTGTACTTATACTGAAGTCAAAGTTTAAATACGACTAATAGAAATGAATAGAGTTTAATTACACTTAAGATACACACACAGACACACTTTGTAACCTGATGGTATTCAAATTTACTATACGTGCAAAGAAATGTTAGAAAAATCAATATAAGAAATATTAAGAGTTCCCTATTGATGCACTTATTAACGGTGCAGCTTGGATTGCTCGTGATTTCTAATACCAGTATAGGAAAGCATTTTATTTTTGGCCAATAACCAGTTATTTTCAGCGTGTAACAGTATAGTATTACTACGTAGTTTCTAAGAACAGCAGGAAGATAAGATATACATTGCGCTTCTGGGCGATGATGAGTAGTTGTATGATCGCGTGCCGATCGCGCTTCGTTGCTCATGATTTGCAAGCGAACTGTTGCACAAATAAATATATTGAATTAATTTTTGGTCAAAGATAGCAAGAATTTCTGTTTCCCATAAGCCAAATTCGGTTTTAAGGACCAGAAATTCTGTCCTCTTCAACCAACACGCGTTTGGTTTGTTCATCCTCAGCCTAATTCAGTCGAATTTCTTTCTCTGTGAAATTGAAGCAATGCATGATATGTTCAGGAAAGATGTATACTCAGAATCGCAACTTTTCTACACTCGTTACAAAACCAATGGAAAAAAAGTACCATACCTCTTGGACGGAATCACTTCTGTACATACAGTTTTATATTCTCCTCCCCAAATTTCCCATACTTTCTCGAAATGTGCTCGTCTTCTCGTCTAATCCTAACGGGACTACTATGGAATATTCTTCGGCCAGTAAACGTGTATATCTCGGAGAAAAATTCCCTGCGTGTCGGTGGAGTGAAGAAACACGTCTGCTTTTCATTCTTCGGCATTCATCCGTCGGACACGTCGAGCTCGCGAGCAATCCGTTCCGAATGTAAAGACGGCGGGCTGTTTGCGAGCGCGAGCTATCACGCAGGCTGATAAGAAGCGGCGAGTTTTCATAGTCCCGACGATTTATGCGCGACGGCGTAATTGCTCGACAGGTATGACCGGCCGACAAGGAAGATTTCCGATAAGCCCGCGTGCGGAAAGCAATATTCCGGAACGCGTAGCGCGGAGCGTGACATAATACGCGCGCCGCGTAATCTCCCGAGAGCCTGGCGTTCGACTATTAATTATATGGCGACGTAAAATTACCGCGACACGACTCACACACACACACACTCTCTCTCTCTCTCTCTTTCTTTCTATCTCTTTTTCTCTTTCGCGTCGTGCACGCGCACATTTATTTACTTTCGTGCAGTAAGACACGCGGTTTCAATCGAGCGCGCGTCTTACGAGCGCGTCGCGCTTCAGCGACGAGCATGCGTACGCATGTTCCGCGTTACCGCGCGCGGTTAATGTAATGTGAAGATTTCCACGATAATCGCCGGCATCGGGGACAGCGAAACTCGAGGGTAATAATTCGCGCGGAGAGCTGCCGGGTGAAAAGAAAATGTCTCGAAGGGAGACGGCGATTCCCCATCCTTTCTCCTGTACGAAGAAGAGTCGCGCTTCCACCTCGGCGGTAGAGAAGAAGTTCCAGCCGAGAGAATCGCGATATAACTCTCCACGTCGTATCATACTCGTCTCACTTGGCCGCGAAGTGCACTACGCCTCAAACGCTCGCGCATTGCGGCGACGCGAAGTACTCTCGCGAGAACCTGCTTCGCGGAACGTGCTTCGCAAGCCGCCCGAGGATCATTCCGGACCGCACTTTCCAATCGTCCCAAGGTCCTTCCGAACAATCGGTGCCCGTAGCCATTTCCCCGGCTCGGCCGCTCGATATTTCACCGTGTCGCCCGCACTGCACTTCGTCCTTGTGTGCGCGCACGCGAGTTTCGTGCCGAGCGTGCAGGAGTAAAGTTTCAAAGCGCGCTCTCGCCTCCACAGACCGCCCGTGCACCCAGGAACCGGTACTTCCTGGTCCCCGCCGCGTGGTTCTCGCCGCCGTACTCACCGGCTACTTCCTCGTGAAAGCGAGTCACCATACGACCTCTTCTCACCCGAATCACACCACCCACGGTAGCTCGCACTAGCTTATATCACAGTCCAGCCAGGGGCTCTCCCAGAGACGCCAGCCCGAGAAGGCTCTAGCTCCGACACCGGCCACGCACTCAGAATGACGGACGCGCGTCCACCTTGGCAACGAGGTCGACGAAAGCCGACGAAGGACAGAGGGAGAGAGGAAGATCCAGCCAGGTTTGAGGAGCGAGCGAGGTGGTCGACGTCGAAGCGAGAGTGGGAGCGAAATAAAGACAGAGAGACGGAGAGAGAGAGAGAGAGAGAGAGGGGGAGAAGGAGAGAGAATATAAGAGAAAGAGAAGGAAAAAGAACACAACGACTACAAGGAGAGACTGAAGAAAAAAGGCGAATGTTCTTGCTCAACGACCGTGTCGTCTGATGCGTCTCCCTCGAGTTCACGTCTGGCCGCGACCTGCGGCACCAGATGGGTCACGAGGCGGTAACCGTGCCTCCAGGTCGTACCTGGTCGATGATCATCCTCGGGACTCGCTCGGGACGCGGCACGAGGACGAGGACGTGAACGTGGACTGAGCACCGCGCTGCGGCACCGCGCAGAGATGTCTGAGCGGCCGGTTAGCCTCTCCCCGTGAAGGAGAGTGTTTCGTAACGGGTTCAGGAAACTCGACGCTCCACAAAGCGTGGCACGCGTGGTGCGCTTCCCGCTGCCGATTGGCCGCTTCCAGCGGCCACGTGCAGCCGGTTGGTCGCCTGGCCAGGTACAAGAGCACCTCTCGTCGAGGTGCTGCTGCTGCTGCTGCTCGGCCAGCAGAACCGAGCCGGGGAGAGCGTTCCAGGTGCGAGCGGCCGAAGAGGATTGGCCGTCGCTTTGCGTTCACGTTCACGTCAGCGACTTTGACGCGGCCTCGATCTCTCGGCAGGGCCCTTAACCAGTAACATCCGTCTGGGCATTCCGGTCGAGAGACGAGGACGTGGCCTTGGTCGTCTTCCGCCGAGAACTCGGTCGACTTTTAGGGATTTTCGCCGGTCTATCGCGTCCCTTCCTTGCTTCTTCGCGTGACTCTCGAATGGCACAGGTTAATCACCACAAGTAAGGAGAGGTTTGGTCACACAAACATGGAATTTAGTTCCAATGAACGAACCGACGCGTTCTGGTTGAAGGAAACGGAATTTCTTGGAGCCAAATTTGGATCATGAAAGAATCAGAAATGCTGTGTCTTTCGATCAAGCCTCGTTGATTCGTGGATTAATAAGCTTCAAGTTAATGTAACCTATTTTTCCTGTGCGCTTTTTTTATTGAAATAATATGATATAATGTATTAGAATTGTAGCACGTATGACCATGAATTATCGGTTAGGTAGATAGATAATGTGGTTTAACAATAACAGCAGGGTTACTCAGCTATGATATATACATGAAATTACCGGTTTGAGTCGACGAATTTCTGTCTCTCTCTCTTTCTCTCTCTCGGTCTTCCTTTTTCGAGCACTGTTTCTCAATTTGGGTTCGAGGCGGCGTGTCGTGGTGTCGTTGAACCGCCGATAAGTGATAAGCACGTTTCGCCAGCTGATACGAAAATCCACGGCGATAAGCCGGTTTCCGTTGCGACTTCGCGATACATTTGCATGAGATTCGTAGCGTGAGCGCCCGTCACGCGCCGCTGATCGCGGGAGGGTGCTATGCACCGCTGAGGTTATCGGAGAGATGAAGGCGGATAATGTGGTTTGAGTTTTGCGAGTAATGAGTTGTAGCGAGAGGCACGTTGAATGTAACGTCGAGGTTGAGATCGCGCAGATACGTTGAAGCGGACGATCGTGAGGAGGAAGAGAAGGACGACGAGGAGAACAGAATTTAACCGTTGCTTCTCTCTCTCTCTCTCTCTCCCTCTCTCTCTTTCTCTCCCTCTCTAAATTTCTTCGAGCGAAATTCCACTCGGAAAGTAGAGTGACAGCCGCGTCACTCGAAGTCGAGTGACTTCTTATCCATACAAATTGAATTTTCACCACTCTGACTCGTCGAGTGATTATTTTCGTTCGAAGTCGAAAGGTGAGTCTGGTGTGCTCCACATTCACTTCAAATTCAAGTGTGCTCTTTTAGCTGAATCTCTTTTTGCATGTTTCTCACCATTTTAACTCACGTTTTGTAGTACATTTAATTTAGCACGTATTAAATTACAATTTACACGTCTCATAAATGTGTTAAACGTCGTGATTTAAAACCACAAGAAATGTGTTAAAAGAGCTTCAGTCAACCTTCACGTTTATGCGTTTAAAAATAATATACTTAGATTTGTGTGTGTTACGAGAACAAAATCATTCTCTCTCTCTCTCTCTCTCTCTCTCTCTCTCTCTCTCTCTCTCTTTGCGATTTTTCTTTTTGAACTGAGTTTCATCCTCGCGATTGTACGTTTGCAAGATACACGAAAAATTAGACGATCGATTGAGCGAGTGTCCTTCTGCTTCCCCAATCGCACGGTACAAATGACGATAGGATTGCATAAATTCGCTGAACTTCGGCACGCGAGGGGAAGAGAGAGAGAGTGCCGTATTATGTAGGTAGCGCCGCGGGCGCACGTTCTTACGAATCGCTTACCTGCAGGCTGCGCTGCCGAAAGAAAAAAGAAAAAGGAAAAGTAAACGAGATTAATCGCTCCGGCGTGTAAAAACATGCGTAGGAGTACATAGAGCGATGGTGCAATTAGTCTTGCAGAAATTGCTAGGAGGAGCGGATCCACAATGCGCTTGCAAGAATTATCCAACACAAACAACCTGAACGCTGTTAAGTTATGGCACTTGTATTTCTCTCTCTCTCTCTCTCTCTCTCTCTCTCTCTCTCTCTTTCTCTCTCTTTTGTGCAACGTGCAATACGAGCGCAACGTTCGGAGACGTTTACGTTTACGTTCTACGTAAAGAACGTAAAGAACGTTCACAGCTTTGCGTCGAAAGTGCAAACGGCCCTATCAATTTCAACGTGCATACGTTATATAACTCGCACATGACGTCTGACGTTAACAACACGTCCCGGCCTCCCAGTCGTTTTCACGACAATACATCAAAGAATTTACTTTTGAGGCGTAATCAATGCTTCCGTAACGAACAACACTGTGAAAAGCGATCAATTGACGACTGAGTACAGATGTGATCGCGTGTCGGCTAATACTTTGTACTCGCGCGTCCAATATAACATTAAATACAACCAAACAAAAAATACAATGACATCCTTAACGGAATTTTCTGGAATCCTAGAGGACTTTGTTCCTATATATGGTCTTTAGAGGATTCTGAAACCAAAAGGAAATCAAAAGGACTCTGAAATCCTAAGCGCAATATTCTTAAAATTAGAGAAGAATTTCGTCTTTTATCTACAGTACAATGTACTATACGTTTTACTGTGTTATATTTTATTTTGATAGCTGATATATAAAGAATTCTAATTGCAAGATGCCATTTCCTGCAATCTCATAGCGATTCTAAGCGAAAACTTTCACTGATAGAATATTCCTCTTCTCTGATAAAGTGAACTGTTAATTGCAAATCTATTTCATTAAATCGCGAATAGAAATATAATTAGCCAGCTTGAATTACAAAAGGTAGTAGCTAGCTAGCATAGGTTAGATTAAATTTTCCAGCTCGTCACTAATTCGTTACTGATTATTCACTGAAATAGAATAGACTTTGACCGTTGTCTAGTTGTTACATATGATATGATAGAGTAAATGCTTATTCTAAAATCACCTGACTACTTTATCATCACTAGTATTTAAAAAAAATGAGGTAGCAAATCAAAATTGAAATTACGTTAATTTAATCAAAATCTCAAAAAAGTAGAATTGAGCCTTTACATTACTGGTTAGCAGCAATTTGGGATTCTTTACCTCATAACTGTAATTCGTTTTTTAAATTGTTCTTTAGCTAATTTATTTATTTAGCCACTAGGAGAAGTAAGCGTTACATTACTGGCTAGTGATGATGCTAGTCATAAATTGACTATCTCTCGTGGTTAGACACTGACAAAGTTCAATTAAGAGTATTTTAATTGTTTCTATTCGATCTATCAAGAGGAGTAGAAGTAGAATGCTTTCCTATTGAAAGAAATGTCTGTTAAGAACAAGACTTGTACCACAGATGAAAGACGAAATTCCTCGAACTCAAAGAATATTGTGTTTAGGATAATTTCCTCCTGCTCGTAGAGGAATTCCTTTGAGACCACACATAAGAGAAACCCGTTGAGAATGAGATATTATATGTTCTCGGCTGACATAACCGTCGGCGTAAACTTGGCAGTAACGAGGCCAAAACCGTTAATGAATTACTCGTTAATTAATTGCACACGGGAAACAAGTGCGGACGCGAGGAAGCGCCGTTCCGACGCGAATTGCGACCGGATGGCACCTCGTGCGCTCGGCTCTCGCGAGTTTCTCCCGCTCGGTCGCTCGTGACTTCGTGGTCGTCATCGTTGGATTAATACACGAAAAAAGCACACTTACATCGCAGGCGTTAGAAATGTCGCTGGTCTCGTCGTCCGGTGTGGCCAAGGGAGCGCGGGGTGACGAGGGCGTGAGCAAATTGTCCGGCTTTCCCTCGATATTATCGTCGTCTTTCGACGACGACGTCGTCTCGTCGGCGACGGCGGCGTGACCGGCCGCGATCGGCGCACCTCCGCGCTCTTCGTCGGCTGAGCTCGCCGGCTTCGTGGCCTCCTCGACCGTGGTCCACGAGTCCAGGGTCTCGATCGGCTCGAGCTGTTTCATCTCGGAGAACACAGTCACGCTCGTGTCCGACACCACGACCTCGGTCTTTTCGATGAAAGTCGAGTCGGACGCCGAGAACTCGCTGGAGGACTCGTCCACCGGATTCTGCGCGTCCTCCGCGGCATCCTTGGCATACTCCGTCGACTCGTTGTCGAAGACCAACTCAGACTGCGACTCGGTGATCTCCGACGACACCACGATCTGCGGTGTTTCCTGACCGGTCTCTTCGCTCAGAATGCGCCGCTCGATGTCGAGGAACTCTTGCGTGCTGGCTGCTTCCGCGACCAGCTCGGATCGACTCGTGGCGTCGTCGTCCTCCAGCTCCTCGCTCGGTTTCGAGGCCGGGGCCTGCTCGGCCGTTTCGAAGACAGACGTTCTGTCTTGCGAAATTGCCGACGCTGCGATGACCTTCTCCTCGTGCTTGCGCTCAGAATCGAAGAGCATCTCGGACTCGGTTACAATATTTACGTGCACATTATCCATCTCGTCGATATGTTCGTTCATGGAAGACTGTTGGACGTGTCGTTCCTGCTGGGAAGGGAGCGTCTCGTCGAAGTTGTCGGAGAACTGACCGTCGGAGGACGGCGCCTGCTCAACCCACGTCTCCAAGACGGCGTCCGCGTCCTTCTCCTCTTGCTTGATATCCGTGCAGAGTAAGTCCACGTCGTCCGGTATCCTCTGCGCCGATTCCTCCTCTTGTTGGTACTTGTCGGGACAAGTCACAGGAGCCGCAGAGAACTCTGACTGAGAATCAGACTCGCCGGCGAGGTCGCGCGCGACCTCGTCGGAGCCGGGTTCGACCGCGAGCTGCGGATCGGCGTCCTCGACAGCGCTCGCGTCTTCACGGTTGACTTCGCTGTCGTCGACGAGCTCGTCGTCGCTCGTCTTCTGAATGACCGTCGCGTCTCCGTGTCCCGGCTGCTCGACGAACACCTGTTCCTCTTGCTCGTCGCGAACAAGCACCGGCTCCGGCTTCACGTTCTCGGCGTTAGCGTCGGGGGACGCGTGACCATTCTGGTGACCGTAAGGCTCCTCGATCAGGGAGCAGTGCTCGTTCTCGGCCGCGATGAACTCCGCGTTCACGTCGAGATTATCCTCCCGCCGGTCCAGAACGATCCGGCGGATCTCCGGCTGCGTGGTGATCTCGTCGGACTCGTCGGCGATCACCTCGTCGTCGTCCTTGCTGGAGCAGATCCTCAGCGCCAGCTCGCTCTCGATTAGCTCCTGCAGGCTCTTGTCTTCGCCGCTGAGCTCGTTACGGGTGTTGTTCGTCAGCACGAGGTCGTCGTCGTCGTCGTTGTTGTCGCACAACGAGATTAGTTGCTTGTTACTCGCGGTTAGATTATCCAAATCAATCAAGCCGTTGTTAGACTGAACACCGCACACTTCGCTCTTCTTGCTACTTACTACATTGATGGACTTCTTCGTCGCCACCTCCGCCATTGTGGTACCTCGCCTCGTGATCACACCGTCAGCACCTGCAAAAGCACAAGGATCCCTCTTAGAAGTCTCGCGTGTAACATTCGAATACGCTAATTAAATGTGAGTTTAAGAGGCACGGCGATTAACGCATCGAACGCGCTCGTTGGAGCCGCGAAGTGTTGGTCGCCCGCGCGATATGTAATCGTATTCAGCGATGCCCGCTCACTCTCGCGAGGAATAGGTCGGGAATAATGAGGAAATAAGCTCTCTCCGCTCTCGCGTGAACAAAAAGCGTATGAATTTATAAGCGAGCGGAGATTAATACGAGAACGAAACTGGGCAACGGGAACGCGAAATAAGTAGGATCGATAAATAACGCTCACGAATAACCGGTTTTGCCTATGTAATTTCGAGCTAGAAAGTGCGGGACGAAAGAAAAATTCCTCGGGAAGCGCGGAAAATGGTGGAGCGCAAATAGATTGTACGCGCGGAAGTATTGTAGCGAAGCTAAAGTTAGATTTCTTTTTGCGATGTCTTGAGTGCAGCTCTGGCTGTACTGGGATTGTCGTACAAATTAGAAATAGTGAATTTAGTTGAATTTTGAAAACAATAAGTTGTGTGTGGAAATATTGCAGTGGAAGAAGAAATACTTGAAAATTTATTTGTGGGATATATAGTTTATTTTTACGAAACAAAGTTTATTTCTGTAAATAAACTTTATATCCTGCAAAAAAATTTCCAAGTATATTTTTCAGCGCACTGAGGAAAAATATTTTAAAATGTTATTTATGTGATATAAAATTTACTTTCGTGAAACAAAGTTTATTTTGAAATAAAGTTTATTTCTGCGAATAGACTATATCCCACAAATAAATTTTCAAGTACATAGAAATAGTACAAATTGTACGATCTAGCGAATATACGATATAAAAAAACACTCAAACAATCGCAATAACGTAAATAAACTTTATATCCTGCAAAAAAATTTCCAAGTATATTTTTCAGCGCACTGAGAAAAAATATTTTAAAATGTTATTTATGTGATATAAAATTTACTTTCGTGAAACAAAGTTTATTTTGAAATAAAGTTTATTTCTGCGAATAGACTATATCCTACAAATAAATTTTCAAGTACATGGAAATAGTACAAATTGTATGATCTAGCGAATATACGATATAAAAAAACACTCAAACAATCGCAATAACTTTGTAGTAAAAAATTCTTAAACAAGTATATAGCATTTTTACGTAACATATTTTAAACAAATATATAATAATTTCAACTATAGTTCTGCAACTATATGAAGTTATGTACTGTAGAGTTATGCACTGAGAAGAAATACTTGAATATTTATTTGTAGGATATAAAGTTTATTTCTGTGAATAAATTTTATATCCTACAAATAAATTTTCAAGTATTTTTTTCTCAGAGTGGTCCAAGAATACAAAAATTTCGTTATAACGTTCACTATAATATTTCTCCCAGTGTCTTTATCTGAGATTGATAAATTTCCCAGAGCAAGACTTTTTGGGTTCCTCGAACTTGTCTCAGCGTAACTATAGTTTTTTTCTTTTTTTCACAACCATAATCGTGTCATGTGTCATACCGACGGTGTCCCGATGAAATTTATTCGGCAATATTCGTTTTAATGTGATGTATTCTTTTTTTTAATACGGTAGGCGGATGAATCGATCTCTTTGACCCGCACACACATATACGCACACACACTTGACTTTCTCCAGATCATATCGGCGCGCAAAGAAAACTCTTCAGAGAGGCGCATGGTGAACCATCTGCTACTCGATGAAGTACCGCCGGTTTATGGTTATGCAAAATGAAGTCCGCGCAAGTGGTCGTGCAAGATCACGGCCGAGGAAATATATAACGCGCTTGTTAGGCAACTTCTGCCGGTCGAATAATGCGCTGCAAAATTTGCTACCGAGATTCCGGCACGATCGATTCTCCGAAGCGCAACCTGGAACCTGCATCCAAAAAATTCACGGGGATATATGGGGAAGACCGGGGGCTGTATGGCCCCAGGGGTATGCTGCTCATGTGCTCTTTTTTAATATTTATCTTGAGAGAAATAGTGGCTACAAAATCGCGAAATGGTCCTTTCAGGAACATAAATACTTTTCCTTGAATTTCATTAAAATCATTAAAATCGGTATAATATTACAGTTAAAAAATAAAAAAGAAAACTAATTTGATAATAGCAAAGTAAATTTTTTCAAGCTTCTCAAAATTTTCGATTAATATTCTCCATTGTGACTGAATAAAATTGAGCGATGTGTTACTAGCTAGAATGAAATTTCTTACAGGCGTATAAATGGTTAGTGTTTCTAGAAATAATCGCAATATTTATTCATAAAATGATTGAAATGGAGCATACAATGGGCGGACGAGGTAAAGTTGACTCGTAATAAAAGGTCGGTAGGAGGGCTGTGGAGACGTCTCGCGGAAACTCTGGAACTACTAATCAGAATACATATTTTATACGTGACCTTCTTATCCTGCGCTATTGGGCGAGTGAACCTGGTATCAGGGCTATGTTGCTACACGTTCGTACTTTGGTTATTACCAGACGAAATATACGGTTAACAGAGTCGTAGCAGGCATTAATACATAGAAGAAGATTGCCTTCATGCTTATCATAGAAGAAAATTGCCTATCATGTTTATACAATCAGTCACAATAATTAGTCTGAGAAGTTGTAACTTCGAAATTCTAAAATATAGGCCACCTGGTCTCGGTCTCCCCCACTGTCGGCGAAAGAAGAAGCAGCAAAATCGTTTAATCAAGCAAAACCCTTCGTGACGATACACACAATAACAAGTGCAAATTATGCCAAACTGCAATTTTTCGCGAGCATTAGATTCGTGTGCAGATTCGCCTTCCGCGACTCGCGAAGCACGGTGCGCTCTCTCTGGGAATAGTAATAGCGTCGTATTTTGGAGCAGCTTTCGCTGCTGGTTTTAGTGCGCGTCTTCGCGGCGAGAATTCCTGGCCTCGCTTACGAAATCGCGAAAACCGTCTCGCAACGGAATGTGTCGTACGCCTTGATTCTCTCACGCGGATGTGCGGAGGCACCGAGAGCCACCAAGAGCAGCAAGTCCGAGCTGCGGTATTAACGGAAGTTACGCCTCTATGGAGCTCAGTCGCGACTACAGACCGGCGTTGTTGGCTGGCAAGCCAACCTCCTATTATTAGCCATCCCGTATGTAGCGAATTTATGCTTCCTCGACGGAATGTACTCTCAAAATGAAATCCGAAACTCTGAAAGAACGCTGCGGGATAAAATCGCGCGCTTGCCTCCAATGAGATTGGCAATTAGCCGATTGAAGTCCTCGCGAAAGTAACCGTGAAATACGATCCAAATACCAAACTTCAAATTCGCGAATTCGCGTCGAAGTGATGAGACGAAGCGGAGCTCTGGAAGATAATTCGATACTTTGCAATGATAATTCAATAAACTGCATGGATATTTCAATTGCTTGGAAAATCAAAAAGCTATTCAAGAAACATGGTTTTCTTTATTTTACGTGGAAAAAGCTTTCTCAGTTTATGTAATTGAATGGGAATTAGATAAAAATTTGGCGACATCGAAGCATATTTGTTCAAGTCTATTATTAAAATCAGAAAAATTAAGTTAAATTGATATTTTTACATCTCTTCGCTGCAAATAATATTTTCGATTGCAGCGAAAAAGACGTCATTTATATTAAATGACGTCTTTTTCATTGCAATCAAAAATATTATTTGAAGCGAAGAGATGTAAAAATATCAATTTAACTTAATTTTTCTGATTTTAATAATAGACTTGAACAAATATGCTTCGATTCAACCAACTGACGATTAATTTCAGTAAATTCAATCAAAGAATGCTTAATTGGCGATTGTTTTCAACGAATTTAATTTAAAAAGTAATTGATTAAATTGTTTGGTTTAATTAAGGAAATTTTTTGTGATTTCTGGTTTGAACGAACTAGAAAATCGCAGTGTGTGAAGTTACTAGAATTCTGCTAGAATGAACCAGAAATCTTGTTAAATCTTGTGAACAGAGTTCCGGCAAAAGTTCGTTCATATTTCACCAGAACTTTGATTAATCCAGTCAGATCTCTTTTTTCGTGTGCGAAATTCTGCTGAGAAATTCCCTGTCGGGAGATTCCATACGAGGCATCCGCCGTCTCGATTCATGCGCCTCGAGAACGCTTCCTGATCCCTTCGCTGAAAAGCGCCCGCCTCATCAATTTTCTTTCTCGGGAGAGATGGCGGTGGCCGTGCGTGCTCTTTCTCCGGCAATTTGACAAATTCCAGCGCGCGTACATACGTCTCTCCCATCGTAAGCATTTATAAACAGAGCGGCAGGGTAGGCCGGTTCGATCCGGCCGTAAACCAAGGCAGTCGCGACTTCAAAATTAGAAAGTGGTGCGAGCGAGCTTGCGCCGTTCGGTCCTCGCGCGAATCTTAATCTCTCGCCACCCTCGAGAGACGCGATATCCGAAATCGCCCGCGAAATTTGAAGTCGTCGTCGCTGGTGCGTTTGCGTCGCGTGAATCCTCGAGTCTTTCACGATGTTTAATTTAATCTTCCCCTCTTTGTCCGCATCGCTCTCCATGATTCCACCTCGTCTCTGCACCTCTTAACACTCTCCACTCGTCTAACCCGCTCTCTTCTTTCCAGCTCTCTCTCTCTCTCTCTCTCTCTCGTTCTCTTACTCTCTCTCTTTCCTTCTCTCGCTCGTTTCTCTTTACTCGACGTTTCACCGAGGTCGTTCCTCGGGTTCACGACCGAGACTATGGAGGTACACACGCTCTCTCTCTCACTCTCTCTTTATTTCTCTCTATCTCTCTCTCCCTCTTCTCTCTTACTATTTCTCTCTCTCTCTCTCTCTTTATCTTGCTCTCTTCTTCTGCCACTCCGCGACTCTTCGCTCCTTCTTCCTCATCTACGCCGTTCTACCACCTCTCGTTCTCTCGCATCTTGGCTTCCCTCTCGTTTCAACCTCTCTCTATTTTTAGAATGACACACTACCGCGATTCAAAGACGCGCGCG